GAAAAACAACACATTGGTGAAATTGAGAGCGAAGCATGAAATTAAGAGCGAGAGCCAAAAAAATTAAAATTCGGGACCAGACGCCTCTTGCCATTTCTTGAGAAGTAGGGGGCGGGCTCTTCCAAGAAGCGGCGCAAATTGAAGGTCTCCTAGTCTCATCAGCAGCGTCACGACCATAGACTATGCGTGTCATCGTCATCGGATGCTGCAGCTAGGAGCTAGACAAGTTAGTAGATTTCCCCAGATTGGCTATTCCTGCCTCAAACTGTTGTAGGGCGGTTTGGCCTCGGGCGGTGGGCTCTGCTGTAGCTTCTGCTCGCCGCTGTAACTCCACATGGAGAGACTCCCACAGGGTGACCAGGGTATCTGCTTGAAGCTACGGGCTGGCCCTTCAGTTCAAGCTACACAGCAAGCTCCACCTCTCAGCAGTAGTCCAGCTGCAGCGCATCGCGCAATCTCGCTCTCAATCAGATGCTTCGCTCTCAATTTCACCAATGTGCTCTTGAAAGTGATCGATAGCTGTGTCCTGTAAAAGGCGTAACGTGATGGATTGATGCTGGTGGATAATCCTCACATTTTTCCATCTTTGGACCGGGGACATGTTTGTGTATTGAACGGTGGTCTCATTTGGAAAACGAAGTCCCCGCGTGTTTTGTTGCGGTTTCGAGAAGCCGTGGCATCCCATTCGTTGATGGTTGTTTGGAATGGCGGGGGAGGTGGCCACCGCTAAGGTATCTCTTTTCCCAGCGGTGGTCTTGCTCCTTTCCGAAAGAGTGTTTGTGACACACGGTACGGCGCCATTCCGTAGGCAGTAGTCTATAGTAAGTACATTTTTGACCGATCACCGCGACTCCTGTTGGTTCATGGGGGGGATTATCAGGTGTTGAGTAGCACGTATTAGCCGTACATGCATGATTCTTGTATGTTCAGGAGGCGGGTGGTTGTGCTTTTTGGCGCCGTTGGTGTGTCTATTCTTTGTTGATGCGGTTGTTACCCGATTGGTCCTTCGTCATGGGTTGCGAATGTGTTGCCATTGTTAATGATTTGTTGCTCCTTTGTCGATCCTTTGGTTGTGCCCAGCTTGCCCTTGTCGCGAGTCTACCATCCCCGGAAGAAGCATTCATTCGCTTAATTCGGTCTCAATACCGTCGATTCAGCTTTGGTAGATTTGGTAGATCAAGAGCGCTTGGTGCACGGGTGGACGCTACCCCAACCGGTGGACAACGTTCCACAACAAAAGAGGTTTGACCTTGTGCATGGCAACCCCCACAAAAAAAGTGCATATTACGCGGGACACACAGAACCGCGCTCTTTTCGACAAGTCCCGCTAAAAGGTTGGTCCTACCCCAGCAGAAGTCGAAATCAACACCCCAACTTTGAACCTCCGGTCAAGAGCCTTCCCATCTGCTGGCGAGGCATAACCGCTCCTCGGGGTGCCTCCCAGGTGTCAAAACGCAACCCGTTGTTGCTCCCAGCGAGGAGGTGCCGAATCACCTCCGCTCTTTCCAAACTGTTGAGATTCTTGCGTTTTGACACGTGGGAGGCACCCCGATGAGCAGCGGACGTGCCTGGCCAGCAGATGGGAAGGCTCTTGGCCGGAGGTTCAAAATTGGGGTGTTGATTTCGAGTGGCTCGCTGAGGGAGGTAGACGTGTAGTGTGTGGATTGCAATCGTACAGTCGTGAGTGGTGGTGCCGAGGAAGGTCTACGAAGGAGCAAATTAATTCGGAAATGCTGTGAACAATGCAATGCATGGTGAAGGACGATGTTTCGAGTGTCGACTTAGTGCGATCGCTGCTGCTGTAAAGAGCGACGTTTCAACACCGCTTTGGCCGACATTTCAACACCGCTTTGGCGGCGACACGGCGCTATCCACACGGCAACCCCCCCCCCCCCCCCCCCCCCCCCCCCCCCCCCCCCCCCCCCCCCCCCCCCCCCCCNTTTCCATCACGAGATATATTTCCAGCATCCGTAGTTCGTTTCTCCTGTGTTTTTCTCATGGCGAGACACCATAAAAAACCTCGATTTCCACGGTTTTTGAAAACCCGGGGATACCAGCGAACCATCCCCCCTTTTTGAGCGATTGTTGTTTTTTCAATCATTTTCGGTGCCCGCTGCAAAATCAAGCCTCTCCGACCTCCCGCAACCTCTACATGGCCTTATAGTAGAAACCGATCTTTTATTCCGGATTTCCCAACCGATCGTATCTTTCCGACCAGAGGGAGTACAAGAAAGTATAACGTTACCATGATCTTTTTTTTCTTTTTTGCCTTCCGACAATTGCAGGTGTACCTCAGAAAACTTTCACTTAATGTCTCATACTCTACATGAATATTAAACCAATACGAAGGACAACAACAT